CCCGCCCGCCGCCCGCGCCGATCCCGCCCGCCGCTCCATGTTGGCCGCCCGCGCCCGGCCGCCTCATGGAAGGCCGCGTCGGAGCCCTTTGTATCCCGCGCGCCCGAGCTCCCGGGCTCCTGTTCGCGTGTGCGGCGGGTGTCGGCGTGGCGCCTTCCTCCTCCGCTCCCCGCGTGGAGGCGGCTCCGGGGTGGGCACGTCTGCAACAAGTCCTTGAACTCTCGGACCCGCGGATCGGATTGGAAAGGCGGCGCGCTGGCCGGCGGTGTGCGCTGAGGGCTTGCGATGGCGTGGAGGCCCGCTCTTGGCCTTTGTGTCGACAATACCTGGGGAAAGACATGGCATTGGCCGCGGGAGGACCTGGAAGCGCGGTGGTTGAACAAAAAGATGTGAGCTCACCAACGGAGTAGAGGGATTAAAATGAAGAAGGAAGGTCCATCCGAAGTTGTTAGGGTGTGATCTGAAAATAGAGTTGTAGAAATGACCTTGTTTTTGAAAGCAAAGCGTGTCCCCCGAGGGTTCTGCTTTACCTTTTGAAAGGCAGGAGAAAGTGAGAATATGGTTTTTCCGGTGTCTCGGAGGTCCCGGCGGCCGAGCTGTGATGGTTTGATGCTGTAGCAGCATCCTTGTTTTTAGCCTGCTGTTCGTATCTTCTCTGCATTTTAAGTAGTAAAATTAAAAAAAAAAAAATGAGATTGTGCGTAACCGCGATGCACATCTAAAAGCTGCAAAAAAAAAAATGTTTTCCAGGTCCGTTTGAGAACCGTAATAAAATTCCATTGGTTAATCCACCCCGCCTTTCCATTAAGTCTAATTTGTGACTGGCAGTTAAGATTTTTTAAAAATATGGAAACCAAGGAATCTTTACTGTTTTCCAGAATGACTTTGTGCTTCAGATTTAAATATTAGGGAAAAAAAGCAATTTTCATTAGCTTGTAAATGTTTATTACACTGTTAAAAACGATGCGTTTAGATGTAACCCATTGTAATAAAACTAATAAGTTTGAAAATCTTTTTTACTGGGTTTATATTTTGGATGCTTTTCCTTGGGTGGTGAAGATTCTGATGCTTTTGAGGTCAGTAGACAAAAGACCTCTAGGAAATTTCCTCTCGTTTATCGGGTGTAACATCACATCCAAAAGACAGCCATAACGGCAAGTAAAGCAACAATTACCTGTGTTGTTCACGAAGAGCTCTTAGATGCTTCCCCTTCAGAATTGCTTTTCCTTTGCCGATTTTATATATATATATATATATATTACTAACATACTTGCACTACAAACTGGTTACATTCCTCTTGGGAAATTGCTACATGAATATATAACACATCTTAATTTTTACTCCTTTCCATTTCCCCTCCATCCCATTTCTCTCCATCTTTTTGGTCCTCTTCTTTTGTAAAAGATGTATCACCAAATTTCCTGTTACCTCTTTTACTTTGCTCTGAAGTATTTTCTGTGAAATTAGAGTGTTTGAGAGAAAAAGTGTTGAAGATTATTTCCATTAGCTTTTTACAAGAAAAGGCATTCTTTTACCTTTTTTTGCACAATAAGGAAAGCCGTGGAGCAGTTTTAAAAGCTAAGCTTTCTTCAGGTTTTTGCAAACCTAATTTGGGAGAGATGTCTCCTTTATTCTTATAGATGGATGGAGTGATATTTTCTTATCTTTGTGTAGTAACTTGATAAGTAGGAGGTAAGAGATTAGAATTTTGTAGACCCAGTGAAGACTACTTCATAGGATTTTTAAAACTGTTATTCTTCATTGACTTAAACTTACAGAATTACAGCTAATGCATAGTTGTGTAATTTTACCAGTAAAGTTTTCATGTTTGGATAGGTTGATAGAGAAAATAAGTACAAACATTATTTTGCCTTATTTTTTCTGTCATCTGCTTGTTTTGTTAATTCCTAAACGACAACGAAGTGACCAAAAAATGATTGAAAGTCATTGTTAAGGTTTGTCCTTTCTTTTAATGTTACTGTCATAGAAATAGTTTGATGACTCTTGTTTGCTTATAGTTGAGGACAGAGCTTTATGGTACCATTTTCTAGTCTTTATCTTGGCATCAAAGCTCCTGTAAATATTTTAGAAAATTTTGTATTCTCCAGTGTGAGCTGCAGTTTTAATTGCAGCTGTGTGCTTTGATATTCTGTGTAGTCATCTATTTCCCATTTTCTATTTAAAATAGTTATCCTTTCAGAAAGTATTTTTAAATGTTGGTGTAAGCACAATATTGAAAAAGCGTGAAGCATTTAGCAATCTTAGAAGAAATTACTGTGGAGATTGAGTGAAAAAAATTGATGAAACTGGTAGAATTTGTTTTTTTACCAAATGAATTTAAATTGAATAGAAAATGAAGGTGAGGGGACACAAGGGACTGGCTATTTATGGGTCCTGTTTAGGTCTAAGTTGAAGGTTTTTGGATGTCATCAGATTGAAAATAGTTGGTTTAGAAGAATTGCTTCTAAAGCTCTACTTGAATTTGCTATTGATACACTTAAGTGTATCAGTTTACTTTGTTGTTGTTTTTGTTTTTGGGTTTTTTTTTGGGGGGGGGGACCGGGGATTGAATTCAGGCCCTTGCACTTGCCAGGGAAGTGCTTATTCTACTAAGCCATCTCCCTGGCCCTGTATCAGTTTACTTTGGACTGGGATTTGTATCAGTTGTAGTTCGTTGGCCTACTATTTAGTAGTTTCAGACTTTTACTTTGGCTGGCACTAAATAATAATTTAAAATGTTAAGTTCAAAATAATATTACTCAAGAATCCCAACAGCAAAGGATACTAGTCTCTGCCCTTGGAGTATGCTATGGGGTGAGGGTGAAAGACAACTATATAACACTGACAAGTCCTTTATTGTAGCTGCCATTCTTATGTGTCTTGTGTCTGTAGAATTTTCATTCATGTATCATGTTGGCTCTAAAATAATTTTGGATTTTTTTTTTTATTTGGGATGCTCAACTTGTACATTGCACTGAAGAGATGAGTATTTTGCTTGTTTGAAGGTCACAAGCTCTGTACATAGAATTTAGTTTTAGAATTTAATTTCTGGTTTGTCAGGCTGTAGGGTCTGATAACAATCTGACCACCCAGCATTAAGTATATAGAGGTAGTCCTGTAGGTGGAAAAAAAATTAATTCAGGAGCTAAGGATCTAGTCGTCGTCATAAGTTAGCTTTCATTTCATGAATCATTCTGCTTTATTTTTATTTTTTTT